CTGGAAGTAACATTATTTTAAGTGATATTCATCTCTCTATTAACTAATTAGAGATGATCGAAAAAATGATCATTTTAGAGCCATCATTTTATAATACCAGTTTCAGCACAAAGATTTACTCAAAATAAAAATATTTTGAGATAAAAAAGTCAATAAAGCTACTTTGATCCACTTATCTAGAACTAGTGGCAATTTTTTTTTTTACCTACAGCTATTTCTATCTTAAAACTCTATGAACCTCATTTCTCTTTACAATTCTAATAAGTAAAATAGGATACAGAAGGGAGGAAAAATATCAAATGAGTATGTCGTATACCTTAAAATCACACATTGTATGTCAAATATATCTCAATTTTTTTACAAAAGGGAGGAAAAAGAGGAAATGGACTCAAATGCCATGGGACTTATAAGTTGGAAAAGCTTGTCAATTACTCTGATAGAACTATTAGCACCTTCTATTTTCTTTGATGCTTTTCTGCATTTTCCAGATTTTCTAGAATACACTTGTATTACATTGATAATTTGAAAAAAAACTGTAAAATGTGTCTTAACCATCTACCTACTTTCTCATGCTACATTCCCCCAACTCATGCTAGTCTTAATCCTCCCAACACAGACACCTTCTACGTTCCAGTATCACTGCAAAATTAGATGCCACCTCCTAATTTCCCATCAAATGTGTAAAATAAGAGGGTGCTATATATAGATATAACATAACTAGTGCAGAAATCCCTTTTGAACTTTTTAAGGGAATATTTTTGGGACAAGGGATTAGAAATGTAAAATAAAGAAAACTAAGTAATTTCTTAAGTCAATGATCATAGTCAACTTTCAACAGTCAAGACATTTCTCATCCTAGGTAACAAATGGAGCCTTCTCATCAATGTACTGTGTACCTACTCAGTGCCAAACACACAGCTTGGTTACATAGCTTAAAATTTTAAAGCAAAGTCTATCTTACGGACAGTCTACAGAGAAACGTGAAATGTTTTGGAAGGTTTTGGGTGAACATCTGACAACTTTCATCAGAAACATTAATTGTTAAATGAAGAAAACCTGCAAAAATGTTATTGTACTGTTATTCTTTGTAGAATGTTATACCTTATTTGCAATAATAAAGCACTGTTAAATTATAGACTACCAGGGCTTCCCTGGTGGCGCAGTGGTTGAGAGTCCGCCTGCCGATGCAGAGGACACAGGTTCGTGCCCCGGTCTGGGAAGATCCCACATGCCGCGGAGCGGCTGGGCCCGTGAGCCATGGCCGCTGAGCCTGTGTGTCCGGAGCCTGTGCTCCGCAACGGGAGAGGCCACAACAGAGAGAGGCCCACGTACCGCAAAAAAACAAAAACAAACAAACAAACAAAAATTACAGACTACCAAATAAAATGTGGAAATCACTTTTCCTTGTTCGAGAGGAACCTAACAAGTAGTATAAAGTTTATATTAAAGTTAACTCTGGTTAACTACATTTTGGGCCAATTTTTAGAAAGTTCACACATTTACAATATTGGAATGCAAAACATTTATGGGTCCGCATATTACAAAATGGTGTAGTGGAAAAGATATAAATACAAATTCAAGCTCAGACTTAACATTGTGAACATGAATGACTGACTTAACTATTCCTGAACTTAGTTTCCTGATCTGTAAAATGGTAATAACAACACTCACTTTATTGGATTGTTTTAAAGATTACATAAGGTACACAGGGTACCAAGTACAATGTCTATCATACAGCAGATAATCAATAAACGTTATTTGTACTCTCCTCTAGAAAGTGAAAGCCATATCCTGTCATCTTTATGCCCTCCAATATACCTTTGGTAGATACTCAATAAAGGTTTCTTGAAATGAATCCCTGTAGCTTAAGACCAGCTACCTCAACCTTCCACTTGAGCAAGTCACCTCTACCTAAATAAATTCTGCTGAGAATGGAATTCAAGATTCCCAACACTTTATTAGCTATTTTGATGAACATGAATATCCGATAATCAACAAGGTAACTTTATAAGTATGCTACTCGATATCTGGGTCTACACTCTACAAAATTATCGTTGTAGCCAACATTTTCATTTTGAGATTCTTTATATAGTTTTCATTATTAGCTCAGTTTCCTTGAAAATAAACTTTAATTTCTTTGGCCTCGTGAAAGTATCACACTCATTTTCCCACTACACTTCAAATAAAAAACAAGAGAACTTGACATAACAAGTTAATTACAAGAGATAAAAATTAGAAATTGCCAACTAAGTTTATGTTTTTTAACAGCCTATTTTTATTTTTACCACAGCAAATATTCTTCCTTACACATTGAAGCCTCTAGCCTTCAAAGTTTGTATATACTTTACTAATGATTCTTTCTTGAATGTCTCTTAAATTACTAACAAGAGTTAGAAACATTACATTATATAGAAATATTACAACAATTAACAAGACCGTGGTTTCAGATTTTCTTTGTCTTTCCACAATCAAAACTTATTAATAAGCCAATTCCACCTCAAGTAAAGTATTTCAAATTCTGCCATATAATTCGAAAAATAATTTTTTACATGTTGGATATACAATGTTTCTAAATAAATAAGTATAAATTTCATTAAAAGAAGTTGTAACATGTAACTTTCAGAGTGAGAAAAGATATGGCAAAGTAACAATTTCAACTAAACAATTTAAAAACTTGCTACACAAATTATTATTTAATTACTTAAAATCTGTATGGCAGAAAAGCATTAAGAACCTCACATTAAACAACTTTTCAATTTAAATAAATTCAAACAACTTAGAAGGTTTTTAAAAACTGTTTCTCCAAACAAGTTTGATAAATATTTGGTTACTATATTCTAGTTTCATGACCCAATGAAATAATAAAATGTTTGCACAGATGCATATACTTGGTGAAGCAAATTTTATCATAGTTCATCTTGAGTGCTGATATAAATAATATTTTCAATTATTTTAATAAACATGATAAAGTCCAAATGCAATAACTTTTATTAGAATTGGGAGTCAAATACACCAAGAAAAATGTCCTGGATATACATGACAACCTAAAATGTAACACTTATTAAAAACTATTCTTTTACTGGAGGGGGTTACATTTTAGTTTATTTAAAAGTCTAACTTTAGATTGGACGTTCCCCTAGTCTGGTCCCATTTTTAAAATACTCATATTTAAATATTCCTATTTATTTGACTTGCTTCTTTGTTATTGTAAAAAATGGTTTTATTAAAAGTCCCTAAATGTTATATTTTAATATACATGAAAATATATTTTCACATTCAGTACCAAAATAAGAGTTTTTTATGTCAACTTTCTATAAAATACAAATAAGGATGCCAAATACTTTATGATTCTGAAGCCACTCCACTCAAGGAAAAATTCTGTTATTTTCATGGCTTTTTTTCAGTCAGAAGTAAAATATGCTTTTCAAATTTCAAGACTAGGCAGTGGAAAGCATTTCTGATGTGCCTCAAACTTCATTTCAAAAGCTCACGTAAAGTAATAAAACAATAAATTCCATTCATTTAGCTAACTGGTATGCTGGAAGACTTCCTTAGAAAAGGCTAAGAGTAATTAAAACACTATATAGCAACATGTTCAATAATATGAAATTCAGCCTTGCATTTCCAAAGGATTCCAAATTTGCAAAAGTGCATTGATATACCTTGTTGAAATCTATTTTTATGGAGGAAAGATCGAGTATTATATACCTTCAAGCTTACATCTAACTGCACAATAAACCAAGCTAATATAGGAATTTATCGAAAATACATTTAAACAGCAAAAAACTTAGAAGCAACTGAATTTTGAAATCATCAAGAATGAACCCTTCAGAGTGTCTAGATTCAGCCTTCTCAAAAAAAATTAACTGCCCAACACACAAAAACGAATGTAAGTAGGCTATTTATTTTCTTTTAACTCCCATCTCAATCTTCGAGTAGCTAAAAGACGACTATATTTAAACAAACCAAAATAAGTTTAAGTCTAAGAACAAGCATGAAACTTTAATCCAGATGTAAACATCTCTGGGACACTCCAAAGTAAAGAAAAATAAACCCAACAAGGTAGCGCACGTACCCTGCACATCAAAGAGACCTAAACACCAATATCGTGCCTACATCATCAAATATTTAGCTGGAAAATGGGAAGAATAATATTGCTACTCAACGTGGACTTTAATTAAGGGATCTATTTTGTTCCCATCTTCTGCAACCATGTGGTGCCCAACATTTTCCCTTAGTCGACTGCTTTGCCGTTTGTAAACAACTTCTGTAGTTCTTTTTTTGGTATTCAAACAGGAGGGAAAATGAAAGCCTGAAAAGCATCAGCATCTGAGCTTCCGGATCTGAGCCGGGAGTAGCTGAGAAGGGGACCATGTAACTATCACTTGGTAAAAAAGAAATAAATGGGTTAGCCCTCAAAATAAAAGAAAGAAATCTAGTCACCTAAAGAGGGTTGGTGAAGTGAAGCCAGCATTTAATGAGACACTTTATTTTTGTTTTTTCTTTAAAAAAAAAAAAAACTTGTCTGGGGGCTGGAAGTTATGGGGGCGCTCTTTGTGCAGAGTCGGAGGGGAAGGGGAGGGACAAGAAAACAGCTTGGGAGTCATTCAAAGGAGTTTAAGGAGCGGTGTTCGAGGGAAAGGCGGGGCGGGGTCCGGCCCGCAGGAGGTAGGGGGCGCCAGGGGTGTCCGCGGGCGGCTCTGACACAAGGGAGGGGGAGGCGAACTGGCCGCCCCGGAGACCGGGTGAGAGCAGACGCCGGCCGCAGGATGGGGTCCCTCTCGTAGGCAGAGTCAAATTAAGTTGGTGGCAGGCCACGGCTCCGGCGGCGGCAGAGGCTCTGGCTCCAGAAGGAAGCGGCTCCCGAGTGACATCCCCGAGTTTCCTCACTTAGCGGGCTAGGGGCGCGGCGGCCGCACGGCTCCCCTAGGCCCCCTACCCCGCGCCAGACTCTCTCCCTCTGCTCCGCCAGTGCCTCGTGCACGGGCCGCGGCCCTTACCTGCAGCTCCGTGAGCAGAATCTCCCCCCGTTCGGGGTTGGACGCCATTGCGTTCCGCTCTGGACTCCACACCTGGACGCGGCCGCTGCTGGCGGGCGAAGGGAGAAGGCGGGACGGGATCCGGGGTGGGGGGTGAGGAGCGGGGAGAGAAAGAAAAAAACCTAGGGATTCATGGAGGCGCAGCCCCTGCTGGAGGCGCGGCTTATTTCGCCCGGTTCTTGGAGAGCGGCGGGGAGCCGGGACACTCGTAGCGGGCTCCCCCTCGCCGCCGCCCGCCCGTGCTGGACTCCCTTGCTCAGTCGCTGCCTCAGGGAGACGCCAGGAGCCGCCTCGAACCTCTCGGTGCGGGGCTGTGCGGCCGCAGCGGCAACTCCTCCTGTCGCACCATTTGGCTGTCACCGCGTCGCAAAAGCGGCCTCACTTGGCGGCTGCCAGGGCACGTGACGGCCGCGGCCGCCGCCTCCCGCCGGGCGAAGGAGGTGGGGCGGAGGGGACCCAGAGGGCGGGAGCGGGGCGGGGCGGCTTCCGACCAGGCTCCGCGGCGGGGACTGCCATTGGACCCGGCCAGGGTGAAAAGCGGGGAGCGGACTGGGCTCGCGTCTCCTGGGAAGCGGGAAGAGGAAGAAGAAAACACACGCCCGCTTTCCTGCTTGTTTAACTGCCCCGCTGTGAACGCTAGAAATCGGGAAGCTACTCGCTTCTTTTTGTTTTTTTCCCCAGGTCCTTTTCTCTTTGCTTGCCACAGTTTATACCTAACGTAAACGGACCCTTTTCTAACCTCCACAACCCAAAGAGTTTCGGGACTCAAACCTGATAGAATATTCCCCAGCCCAAGCTATTAATCTTGCCTTTTGCTCGCACCCACCCTCTGCGCGCTTCTGCGACCAGTAAGGTGCACAGCTGGCGAAAGTGGGGTGTGATCTGTACTTTTCAAGAAATGTTAGCGGCTCTCGACCTCTGGCAATTCTTAATGCAGTTTTCTGTTTTGTTTTGTTTTGTTTTTGTTTTTGTTTTTTTGCGGTACGCGGGCCTCTCTCTGTTGCTCTCCCGTTGCGGAGCACGGGCTCCGGACGCGCAGGCTCAGCGGCCATGGCTCACGGGCCCAGCCGCTCCGCGGCATGTGGGATCTTCCCGGACCGGGGCACGAACCCGCGTCGCCTGCATTGGCAGGCGGACTCTCAACCACTGCGCCACCAGGGAAGCCTTAATGCACAGTTTTTTAAAGATACCTTTTCCCAAGCGCTGCACTACTGTGGTTTGGGCTTTAGTATTACGCTGAGTTTAGAATTTAATTAGTTGGCTTCTTGAATTGTTTTAACTGAATTTAAAGTGAAGGCGGTGGGGCGGGATTAGCCCCATGAATGGGAAAAAGCCAGCTTTCCCTGTTGTAGTAAACATCCAGGTTAACCTATTAGTAACATGTAGCTAAGTAGTCTTAAGTTGGGGGTTTAAGCAATGACACTGTAATATTCAGGACTGTCAACAAAATCTCCATCCCGTAGCTCTTGTTTTGTCTGAGGAGTGAATGCATATTCTAGGCACCTGCTTAACTTTTGATTATTTGAGGCTGAGATGCCATGGCTTTGTTAAAAACTACTTAGGGAAAGTGATACGGATAGTTTAGTTAGATAGCTACTTGAAGAATGGCTTAGTAGGCATACTTCTTAAGTATGCTATCATGAACCTCTTAAGCTGCATGTAAGATCTGTTGGGCTGATGCTAGGACTTAAGTTTATCCTTTTACCTTCTAAAGTCTAATGCATTTATTTGACAAACACTTGTCTAGAGTTCTGTGATCACATTTTCTGAACTCCAATTCATGTGATAGAGAATTTTTCTGGTGAGTCTTTCAAAAGTTTAAAAACTGTTTATATGTTTAATACATAGCCTTGGTTGAAAATGATAATTAAAACATATGCTATAACAACACTTGGAAAAACCAGGATAAAAATGCCCTCCCTGGTAAGAGCCAGACAGTGTTCTAGACCCTGGAGCTACAGCTAGGATTAAGAAAGAGTCCTTGTCCCTGGAGTGATTGAGTCCTTTGGAGAAACAGACTTGTGTCCAAACAACTATAGTGCAATTTTAAATGATAGTCACAAAACGTTAGGGGACCACTGCATTCAGATAGATGATAGATAGATATACATATTTTGTGTGTACTAAAAATACATTACATAAAATTTACCATTTTAACAATTTTAAGTATACAATTCAGTGGCATTAAATGCATGCAGATATATTTTGCTTATTTTTCTTTTGCCTTACTCCAGAATGGATTTGAGATAGCTGGCACACATAGTAGGTGCTTAATAATGATGTAATTTAAAAGTACCTATGTAAGGAGTTAGAAATATAGTGAATGAGCATTCTTTTTAAAAATAAATGTAGATATAAGAGAAAGATGTTCACCTTTTAGCACCATGGTATTTTAAAGGTAGAAGAGACTTAAAATGTTGAGTCCAACACTTACTATACGTAGAAGAAAATAAGCCATAATTTACTTAACTATTAGGAGCATGGGAACATTATTACCCTTAGTGGCAGAGATGGAAACTGGAATCTAAATCTCCTAATTGCCAATCCTGTGCTTCTTTAAACTTAAACCATGCTGCTATAAGTACTTTAAAATAGATTAAAAAATGAACTCAAAGCATTATAGTCTCTCAAATATTTTACCATAGAAAAAGATTTCAAACTTTACATATTTCTAGTGCTAAATCAAGTATTAATCGTAATTTTAATTTTATATATCACGTGTAAATGTAAGCAACCAGCATAAAAAGTTTTTTAAATTATAGGAATTATTTCTGAGATTAGTTATGTTGGAGAAAGTAGTACAATACAAAAGGGAGCGAAGACAATATAAAACTGCTTGAGAATCTGGAAAATGTGATGGTTTAAACAGTAAATTAGCTTAAGCTGAAAACTACTACCCAGATCACTGTTTATGTTCAGGGGGTGGGGGGTGGTAAGTGGGGGAAAAGAACAAATAATAGGACATGGAATATATTTATCAAAATGAAGCATACTTGAAAAAGTTTTAATGGAAACGTATATCATGTTGATTCAGATGAGCTATATTCAGTCCCTACTTGCAGATATTTTTGAGGAATCCTAAATATAGTTCACCTCAAGTTATGTTCTAATTTATATTGACAATGAAAAAGAGGAATTTTTTTATTTTACTAATTTCCATGTAAGAAATTAAAGACATAAAAAATATCTGAATTGTGTCACTAATTTTGCAGGTAGCTTTTAAAAATTTTCATAGATATTTTAAAGGTCTTTAAGAAGTAGAGATGACCAAACATGTAGAAATAGTGATTTGTTTGTTATTATTACTTTTTTTATTTTTGGCTGCACTGCGTCTTTGTTGCTGTGCGTGGGCTTTCTCTAGTTGCAGTGAGCAGGGGCTACTCTTCGTTGCGGTGCATGGGCTTCTCATTGCGGTGGCTTCTCTTGTTGCGGAGCACGGGCTCTAGGCACGCGGGCTTCCGTATTCATGGCACATGGGCTCAGTAGTTGTGTCTCACGGGCTCTAGAGCACAGGCTCAGTAGTTGTGGTGCATGGGCTTAGTTTCTCTGCGGCATGTGGGATCTTCCCGGACCAGGGCTCGAACCCGTGTCCCCTGCATTGGCAGGCGGATTCTTAACCACTGCGCCACCAGGGAAGCCGCTGTTATTGTTGTTTTTGCAAGTTAGTGGGAAGAAAAAGAAAGTAACTCCCTACTCCCAAGGGATAAAAGTAAAGTAGCAGTGGTAATCAAACTAAGAGACTCCCAAAGGAGAGGCAAACTCAGAGAGACAGTCAGAACTACTTGGTCACCACCTTTTTCTTCCTTAGGAAACCCCTTGCAGGGATGTTCCCTTGCAAGCTCTATGAAAATAATTTTGAGAACAAGATTGTTAAAGTTGAGAACACAGTAGAGTTAAGTTGTAGCGACCATAGTAGATACTTTTGGAGGTGTCTGCTCAGCCCACGTTCACTTCTCTGAGAATTACCTCTGCCACCAGAAAAGAAGTCTCTGTAGCCATGTTGATTTGGCTTAATCTAGATCTTTCAGCAAATTATGGGTGGGCCATGATAGAACATGTCCAAGTGTAGCTAACCAGATTACCTCCCCAAGAATTTGAAAATAGAGTATTGAAATGTTGGTCAATTGGTGGCCCTAGACCAGAAATGGTGGGAGGGTTATGGTTGTAGGGCTAGAATGGCTATTTTTTGCCATGTGTCCAAACATGCAGAAAAAGCTGTTTTTGGAAAGAAAAACGAAGTCCTTCCTCCCTGTCACTGGGAATATAATGGTTATTGAGGCATAACTGGCCTTTATCTTGATGGGGCTTATGGTTAGTTAAAGAGACGTAATAACAAAGAAGGTGAATCCAGGGTACTTTAAAGACAGGTCAGGCAATTCTTTCCTAAGTACTTCACACTTATGCTGAGATCTCACTTGTGAGTAAATGTTAACTGGACAAAAAAGGTGTAAAGAACTTTCCAAAGAGAAAGAATAACTTAGATAAATGTTCTAGAATGGGAGGGAGCATCTTAATTAAGTACTGAAAGACCAGTGGGACTATAGCAAAGAAACAGAGCAATAAGCAGGAGCTTATAGATCATGTGTATCAGTTAGGATGGGCTAGGTTATGTTGAGTAACAAATGATTCCAAAAATTCTCAGTGGCCAACAATAAGGTTTATTTATCTTTCATGCTACACGGCCACCAAGGTTCTGCTCCATGCCATCTTCACTCTGGACTCAGGCTAACAGTGCAGTCTTTATCTAGAGTATTGCCATTGTCATGTCAGAAGGAAAAGAAAAGTGGTAAATCACCCACTGGTTCTTAAAGTGTTTGCTCATATTTCTTTCACATTTCATCAGCCAAACTTTTGCTGTGCCTGAAAGCAACAAGGGGCAGGGTTGTATAATCCTCCTACAGAGAGGGACACCACAGCGATGGGCACTGAATGTAGGTGAATAGTAATCCAGTTCCACACCATGTTTAAGATTTTGATGTTTATCCTAGGAGCAATGGAAAACCATTGAATAAATTTTCCATTTTTTAACAATTCACTCTGGCTATGGTGACAACAAGATTAGAAATGGGCAAGAGTAGACTGGGGGAGAAAAATTAGGATTAAATAATGAATAGTAGTTTAGACTGGGGTCATGGCATTGGAAATAGAGAGAAGCCAAGAGATTTAAAAGACAGGAGGATCTAGTGATGTGGAAAGAGAAGCAGAGGTGAGAGACTTTGTGGCACCAGGACAGTGGAAGAAATGTACGTGAATTGGTTCCCAGTGTCTTACCATTTGCTTGCTCCGGTCTTCTGGGAAGTTCAGCTACTCTATTCTCGTGTTTTGGGAGTCTCCTGTGTTCCCCTAATAAGTCTTTC